CGAAGTATGTGCACATGTGAGGCGAAGAGGCGCATGCGCACAAGGGAACAATGACGCTTCCAAATGGAAGCGTCTGATTGCTCCCTGCTCACGCCCGCTTATTTCGGCATTTTGACAAAATAGAGGGCGTGGCTTCACGAGGCTCCCGGCGCTGAAACCAAGTGAGTAAAATCCTCTGCCTGGAGAGTCCCTTTAAAACAAAATTCGTACAAACCAACATACCGTTTCTTATATCAGAGGAGGGTAATAAACTTACTAATCCAAATGACATTGTAGATTAAATAGTTACATTGTCACATAGTCTGAAAAGAGACATGTATCCAGAAAGTTCAGCCTTCTTCATGTTTGTTTTTTGCTGTTGATCCAAAAGAAGGAAAAAAAAAAAACAGTTTGAAGCACTTCCAATTTTACAACAAACTAGGAAAAAATCCCTCTTGACCCCAGAATGGCAGTCAGATTTATCATTGGATCAAGAAGCTATTACCCTACAATTGAAAAACTATAAATTGAATATTCTGTTTTTGCAAGTATGCATCTAGTTGCTGTTTAAAAATCTGTACGGACTCTGATAAAACCACTTCTTCAGGCAGAGAATTCCACATCCTTATTGTTCTTACAGTTAAAAAAACCTTTCCTTTGCTTTAGACCAAATCTTTCTTCCAGTCTAAACGCAAGACCTTGTGTCCTATGTAAAGTCCTGTTTGTGAAGAGATTTCCACACAATGGTTTGTATTGGCCCCGGATATATCTGTATAATGTTATCATTTCCCCTCTTAGGCAATGTTTTTCTAAACTAAAGAGGTTTAAATTTGTTAACTTTTCTTCATAGCTTAAATGTTCCATTCCTTTTATTAATTTTGTAGCCCACCTCTGCACTTTTTCTAATGCCATAATATCCTTCTTTAGAACAGGTGCCCAAAATTGCACAGCATATTCAAGATGTGGTTTTACCAGTGATTTATATAAAAATGGGAAAATTATATTCTAATACCGAGAATTAATGAAATTTTTCATGCATGACAATACCTTACTGGCCTTAGTCACTGCTAATTGACATTGCACATTGTTGCATAGTTTGCTGGAACTGGACAAATTAAATACTCTCCTCTACAATTTAAAAACCAATCCAAAGCAGAGCAACCCTCTTGGGAGGAAATAAAGGCATTCCTGGACAGGGTTTCTTTACCTACGTCACCCAATGAACAAGCAGCATTACTGTGGTCCTCGTTTACAGAGGAAGAGGTTTTGAAAACAGTGCATTCACTTCCTGATGGGTTTTCAAACTATTACTACTTCAGGTTTCCTTTTGTTTTAGTACCGTAGGTCACGGTCCTTTTTAAGCGTATCAAAGAATCAGGTTTGTTGACCGCCTGCAATGGGGTTACATGCTGGTTACCCTTGCGATATTTAGTTGCTGGAAACTTTTATAATAGTGGTAATAGTCTTATACACAGACCCGTCAGTGTGAATATGCAACACAGGGTTTGGGTCAGATAAATGTCAGTGCGAATATGCAACACAGGGTCTGGGTCAGATAAATTTGAGATAACAAATTGCACCCGTCAGGGATGCCCTCTATCCCCATTTATTTTTATAATAATGCTAGAACCTTAGTTCACATAGTTAGGAAACATCTGGAATCCAGGGCTTCAAAACTACATAAAATCGTGATTTTCGCAAACAACATCTTGCTATGCCTCACTAACCCATTACTATCATTACCAGTATTGATGAGTGAACTTGATTCCTTTGGCTGGATCTCATACTATAAAAATTACGTCAGCAAAACCAAATCTCTACCAATAGGGATACCACAAGAACAAACATAAGGTATAGGTTTTCATTTTATTGGAGGCAGGATTATATTCCCTCTCTCATCAATCTAATCAAGACTTGTAACCAATTGACCCCTGAAAACCATGTAAAACTATTAAATGAAGCCAGAAATACTATGACTCTTTGGATGAAACATGAAATTTCATGGTTTGGAAGAGTCAACACACTAAAAAAGCTGATTCTTACAAAAATATTACATCTATTCCGGATTTACCTATTGAGTTTTCTTCGTCCCTAGTAAAAAGATTCCATTAGATTAATAAATGCTCAGTAGTGAGTGGAGCAATATGGAACACAGTATTAGAAAAATTGTATAGAAACTCATTAGGTATTTGATGATTTCTTCCAAGAATTAATGGAATATGTAAGAGAAAAAACGCAAAAAAATGCAATGATAGTGCAGATTGTATTAAACTGACACTAATTAGTCAATTAACATTTACTTGATAATCCTATTTATGCATCACCTTATTTGCATATAATCTTATTTACAGATAATTGATTATATCTATCCAACTATGATATAATATAGCATCAAATGCAGAATGCTAACAAAGTTGAACAATTTATTATCTGCTTCATGCAGAGTTAAAACCAAAACATAGACAGAAAGATAATATCAAAACAGAGGGTCGCTAGCCTCTTACTGAATGAAGTGGTGAGTTAAACCGGCTTCCGCCGTTACTCACTAAAACAGCTTGTGATAAGTCAATGGGTGAGCTGCTGTCTCCTCCTCCGGCTTGGCTGGGCTGTAGTCAAACTGCTGCAGACAGTGAACAAGTACACACAGACCAAAGTTGAAATTAGCCGCCTGGAGTTCCGACTTGCGCAAGCTCCTCCCCCTTGTGTGACGTTGACGCGTTTCGCCATATGACGGCTTCCTCAGGACGTGCTGCCGACCGCTATGTCGGTTATGGGCATATAAAGGCTAAAGTCATAATCTGATTGGATACCTTGCGTTGCATTGTGTCGGTATGTGTGTTTGTCTATCCATAAAAGCTTTTAGAGTGAGAACCCGGGGAGATAATTTGTCCATATTTCTCATGTTTATTGCAAACTATGTAAAGCTTGCTACCTCTTCACTACAAACAATTGTATATTGTATTGAGATTTTTGTTGTGTGAAAATTCACTGAGGATTAAATATCCCGCAGATCTATTTTAGTAGTAATACAATTATTCTCTGTCTATGTGGTTGCTTTTGTCTATGTGGATTCATTCCCGCACTGACATAGGTCAAATTATTAGCATCCGTACTCCATCTTCTGATGTTAATTTAGCAGCTTGTTTCTGTTGTTTTTTTCCTCAACAAAAACTAAAGAGGTGATCATGTTTCCTATTTTTTTTTAAATGTACTGACCGAGAAGTCACTTGACAACAAGACAATGGAATCTTGTCACTTTTTCCATTCACGTTTTTTTTTTTTGAAAGTATTTGCAGAACCAGTTATCGATTCAATCAGGTTTATTTATAAAAGTGAGAATGCAAAGTGAATTTCAAATTTAAAGTTAAAATAGCCAAACTGGAAAAGCAGTTAAACTTTCACTTTGGTATTAATGTGAAACTCACTTTAGGAAATAAACTGTAGTTTGTCCGTTGTAGAATAAAATAATGACCTTAGAATTACGAGGTAAGGAAATACTGACAATGTTTGGAGTTCTATCCTCTTTGCAGATGTAATCGCCACCAAAGACATACATGTTAGAGAACATATTCTACGATACCAAGATGATAATGCTGCAAATGGTGAATGGAGGACAATATTTACATGTCCTAAGTAAGCACATAGCCAAGAGCAGATGTTTGTACTTCAATTCTATGTCAAGCATTACTATTGGATTGTCTTCCAGAGAGAAGCCCCTCAATTCTAACTGGGACAGGGTTAGTTATTAAAGTGGGAATTCAAAGTAAATTTTAAGAAAAAAGTAGTTGAAGTGGAAGCATAGCGGATTTAGGTAATTTTTTTACCTTTAAACTGAAATTAATTTTGAATTCCCACTTTAGCGAATAACTCCATGAGATCGGTCAGAACATTCTCAAGATGAAAGTCTGTCCCATTGCCTACTGGGGTGAGGTTTGATGACTGTATTGCTATAACAGACCGGATTGCTGCTGTTTTTACTTAAGAAAATGTTTGTCGTTATTCTAGAACCAGGAAACAAATACATTTCCTGTTTAGATTTCCCAATGCTTCTTCAGAGTAAGATTTTTTTTTTAATTCATCTGGTAATGGAATTTTAACAACTAGCACATTAGATGTTTTCTTTTGAACCTACAACTTAGTCTTTTTCGATGATGTGTTAGACATCTGTCATTAAATATACATAAAATATATTATTTACAAAATTTCACAATCTCGTAACACAGGAAAAAAAATATTATACCCAGTTTTTACCTTAAGTACTCCTATTGTTTGGGATGGGGCTGATATGATACACTGCGTTTTTGGGCCAAAACCATGATGCCTCTGGCACATCAGAATATGTCATGGTATGGTGAGAGAAATATGGAACAGGTGAGTTCCACTAAACGGTCTACTGGGTTGAGCATTGCTCACATTATATTCACTTGGACTAACCAAGCTGGCTACAATTTATGTGTAACGCAATTATCTTCTGGCGTTCCACCGCAAGAGCAACATGAGCTCCACTTAGGTCATTAACTATAATAGAATATATTAAAATTAGCACCCAGCGCAGTCAGTTTCAAAGTATGTTCCCAAAAATCTTGTCTAGTTGAACAAAGGTGTCCCTAGTAAGCTAACTGCACTATTCCACCCCTTGCAATAAACAATCAGAGGCGACCAATTTAGAATCGAATGCAGGACTGGCAAGAGCCAACGTATAGTTGGTTAAACAAGCAGTTATGGGCTGGTGGAGAATTAAGGAGCCACTTCACTTTTAAATATCAAGTCCAACAGGATGTATACCAAAAATTTAAAGTCATATCTTAAAACACTTAGCAGGGTCATGGGAGTTTATTAAAAACTATTATTAATCCAAAGCATTAAATCTAAATTGGAAGTTTTGGAATTCAATTTAAAGAATTTGGATCTATCATAATGGAAAAGGTGTAATATTATCCATATAGAACAATTATGGAATTACATCATTTTATGGGCTAATTGATGAATTCGGGTTAAAATTCCACTCACATGGGGGGCAGAGCTTGACTGCCGAACGGAGCAGACGTGTGTCACAAGAGCTCCTGCACACGCTACCGAGAATCCGGGGATATCCCCGATCCAAATGACTTTATAAGCACAGCCTAGCGTTAATCTTGCAGAGGAGGCTTCGGTGAGTCGGGAGACACCTCACTGGAGTGTCCCTGCAACTGACTGCCCAAATCGAGGCCTACATAGGAGGGAACTAGGGAGAGGCGGCCACTCTCCCAGCACCCCAGCTGGCTGCTAAGCAAAGGAATCGTGCAATCCCCCTTTGGATCAGCGGGGGTTATCCCAGTCCCTATTGGGCTACCCCACGCAGTAGCTGACACATAGGGGGAAGAACCGCAATCAACAGCATACCTCAAGATGGCGGACGGGCCTACTACAGAGACTCAGGCACCCAAAGCCCCACTGGATCACACTGGTGACTCCATGCTAGCACTGGATGCACTACTAGCCACCTTCTGGGCATGACTGGAGAAACGAGTGGCAGCCTCTGCTGGTCTGCCTATAGAGACAGGCCATCCGAACGCACATGGGCCCCCTCTGAGTGAAACTACCCGCTATACACGGGCCCCTCCCATCAAGTGACCCCCCAGACTGAGGGCTAAACAAGGGAGGAACCCATCTCATCGCCCGCAATGGAGAAAGCCCCTACCACTGCTCCGGTGCTGCATCCCAGGAGGGGCCACGATGCTGGAATGGTGCCAGCAGCCGGCGAGCTCCAACTCTGCGACGCCTGACGCAAAACCTAGACAGAGCCGCAGCTGCCCCCCATACACAGCCCAGCAGACCGCTGTTCCCCAGGGCCGACCACATCTCAAAAGCTGGAGGTACACGACGGTGGACCCCCAAAGAGAGACATGGACCACCTGCACAACCAAGGCTGAAGATCAACTACCATATCTGGGGGCCGACACACAACTGACGGGTCAAAGATGGCACTACCTGCTCCAGCACACTAGTGGCATCGGGTGAGGGTTTGCAGTAGCCTTTCTCCCTGCTGCCACCCTGCTCAGCAGAGCAGAACTGAATGGGTAGTCTCCCTACTATTATCTGATGCCCAGTGGTTCAAACAGTTCATATATGGTTTTATATCTATAGCTAGATTTGTCTTCATATCCCATGTTATTTTCTTGTTCCCCTTAACCCAGATGTATACTAGCATAATTTTAATCTGAAAGTATAATCTTGTCTAATAAGCATGTACCACATCAAAGTATTCATGTCACCACACACATCTGAGCGACTCATAGTCACCGCTACACTCACACGCCTAAACATACAGGTCATACATGTTACATTAGTGCACCAACTATCTCACTAAAGATGTGTGTAGAAACTTCTTGTATTTTCCTTTAATATAAAAATGTGCTGACGTAGCAAAATGAAGCAAAGTATTAACTCTAGAAGATCCATTCCTTACGTAACCGGTTTCATTGTAATATTTGCATGTTCTTGCACTCGTTATTGTGACGATGCAGGAGAATTTGTTTAGTTGTGCACAATCAAAAATCAAAATAAAGAATAAAAAAAAAAAATTCCACTCACGACACAGAACCATGCCAGGCTTTGTAAGAAAGGCTCAAGGCTGCCACTTATGGCAACAAGATCCACTTCAAAATGACAGGATGCAGGACTCCAGATTGTTCCACAGAAATATTATATTTATTGATGCAAACTTAATAGAAGGCTATAGATGGTGGTGGGAATATTACACAAAGTCGGAGGGGAAAAAAAGCTCTAAATACCCACAGTGACCTTGGGCAAGGATTGCAATCAAGAAGCAGCAAACCTGTTTCAGATGTGAGGCCTTTTTCCAGTGCTACTGAGCTTCTTCTTGGTGTACAGCTTTTATATCCATTTAAACAAAACAAAAAATGACATGTATATACCATTTCCGGCATCTTGTAGCCACCCGCAACATAATTTCTGGCTCTTCCAATTGAGGTCCAATCCTTCATAATGATATGGAACACACGGTCACTGTAAACCTTCTGCCAGGTTCAGTATATATTGTACCCTAAAGGCTATCAAACAAACAGTTAAGTACGTGTCAATCCTCTAATATCATATTCCTCCTCCATTTCCCTTGTGGGCTTCAATAAATAGGTTTGACCATTAGCGACTTTACATAAAATAAAAATTTAGTGAACATGTGGATAATAGAAGGGGTATATGGAACATTGTTTCAGCTTATTTTGCAGAGAGCCATGGAACTGATTCCCTTTTGGGATATTTGGTAATATGTGGATTTCTGAGATCAATTCCCTTTTCCCCAAATGGTCTGAATTTAGATTTTGAATATGTATTTAAAAAAAAAAAAAAAAAAAAAAAACAATTCTTACTACTATTTATACATTTTAAAAATATTTAATTTACTCTTACATTTTACACATTATAGCTTGAGTGTGGGGAAGCACTTTGTTTACCAGTTTGTTTGTGTATATTCTTATTTTTTTTTTTGAAGCCCCATACACACTTATTTCTTATATAACTGATTAATTTTACTTCTGCCTAAATTATTTATTCACCTGGAGATATTGAAAACAACTTTATAAAATAAAGCCCTTGTCAAAATTATCAGTGGGAACAAAGAAATAACTGCCCTAACTAGCTTGGAACGGGAATTAAATATAAAGATTTCATATCCTAAACGGTATAACTCATTAAATATGAAAAGGTGACACTGTTCAACCTAATTGGAATAGTTCTAGGACTGATGTAAGGAAAGGGCTCCCCCCAGCAGTAGATCTACATTTAAAGTGGTCTCCCTAAATAAAAAGCAGAAAAGGTCTGTTAATCACTATTTTGAGGCTTAAAAATTGATTGCTAGGAATTTAAGTGCTAAAACTATTCTATCATGGGCTTCAATAATTACTCCAACTCCATAAGGAAGCTATTCATTATATCCTCACTGCCAACGAGAATATCATTTGTGGAAATTTGATAAACTGCCTCTTATGGGACCACGGAGGATTTAATATGCTCCAACTAAAATATAGTATAAAATTGGCAACTTCACCAATCTTGCCATTTAAGGCCCCATTGTAATTTGTATATGAGTCTTCTGAAGTTTTACACAAGCGATTATCTTAAGCAATGATCTGTTGTTTGTTTTCCAATTTTTATTAAAAAATACTCAACATTACATTTAAGTTCAACAGTATGTAACCTGCAACGACTGAAGCTACAGACCCCTTACAAAGTATAGCCTCTATATCAGGAAAATAAAGACAAATTAAAGATGGTGCCCCAGCAGTAATTCAACTTCTATTTCACAATTTAAAATTAAGTTCATAGAAAGGCTCCCGTTCTCACTTTTTTTTTTTTTTTTTTGAATGAACAAGAAAGCAAACACAAAATTAAAATAAACACTAGCATGGATATTCACTAAAATGTTTGTAAGGAATTAATCTTCGTTGCAAAGTTTGGGCAAACTAGGTGATCTGAAATATTTGCCAACTACCATTAGAACTTTAACATGCTACAATTTGTGAATGACCAAATTAAAAACAAGACTTAACCAATGCAGATTTTTTCAGTTTTTATTTTAAAGCTGTCACTTTGCAGGTTTTGCTTTCTATTTTGTGTCCCTATTCATTTTTTAAAATCCACTCTAGTTTTGCTTTCATACATACAATAAAGTAGGGACAAAATGTAATTTGTGAAACTTCTATTTTAGATGCCCACATTCCAAACAAAGTATCTCACAGAAGGGCAAAAAACTATCGCTGATAAAGTGGCAGAAGCTGGATATTGAGAGGGAGAGAAAGTAGGGAAGAGATAAAAGTCGCATGGCTGGTAGATTAATTGCAAAGATTAAAAGAAATCTGGGAGAATTCCCTTCACATACTGATAGCATTTTACAGATATCTTTGTAACTATTAAAGGGAAACTCCAGTGCCAGTAAAACAATCTGTTTTCCTGGCACTGCAGGTTCCCTCTCCCTCCCACCCCACACCCGCTGAAGGGGTAAAAACCCACTTACCTGAGGCAGCGGCGATGTCCCTTGTCGCTGCTTCCTCATCCGCTCCTTCTGACTGCGTCGGCCGGTGGGCAAGACTGAGACTGAGACTGATCCCGCCCACCGGCCGGGGAGACCTAATGCGCATGCACAGCAATACCGCACAAGCGCATTAGCACTCCCTATAAGAAAACATTAAAAATGCATTTCAATGCTTTCCTATAGGGAAATGAGCGACGCTGTGCTAGGAACCAGGAAGTGCCCTCTAGTCGCGGTCTAGTAGACAGCCACTAGAGGTGGAGTTAACCCTGCAAGGTAATTATTGCAGGGTTAAGAGTAGTGGGAGATGGCACCCAGACAACTCCAATGGGCAGAAGTGGTCTGGGTGCCTGGAGTGTCCCTTTAAGATAGTATGGAAGATAAAAGCGGCTACTTTATAGCATTGAATAAATAGTTTACACTATCCAAAATGCTATAACCTTAGTCATTTTCTTTTTAAGCATCTTTTAACCTTAACCACTTGTGTTGCTTAGCAGTACTATCCTTTATATAGGATCAATTTGGAAGCACTTTACAATCATTAAATTTAGATATTTAGAAGTGAAGGTGCTGCTCAAATGAGCTGACAATCTCAGGATTAAGGTAGGTGGAGTAGACTACAAACGTATAGCATCCATTCGAATGCTAACTGATTAAGATGCCAGTACGTCTGATACAAGAGATACATCTTTTATCTGTCGTCTTTTCTGTCAATAAACTAAGATATTCTCACTAATATTTGTAAAGCCCTGCAAAATGTTGCCACTTTAAAAGCTGTAAATTTTTATGAAACTTTAACATACATTGAACAGCACCTACAACTTGTGTCATGAGATGCTAGCTTTTTTGTTTTTCAGATGTGTATTGGATTTAGTTAATGAAATCACAATCCAGTACATTCCAAGTACACCGTGCATGGAGGAAAAACACTCCTAGTCTCATTCTCTACCCCAACAGGTACAAAAGGTGCAGTTTATAGCAAACATTCTGGAATGGATAGCCCTTATCTTGACTCCGAGCTAACACATTGACAAATCTTTAACAGAGGCTCGCTGCCTAGGTGTTCTTTGACTCTGACCTCTCCTTCAAGCCTCATGTTCAGTCTATCGCCAAATCCGGTCATTTCCATCTCAAAAACATTGCGCGCATCCGCCCCTACTTAACACCAGATGCGACTAAGGTGTTGGTACATTCCACTGTCCTCTCGCCTTGACTGTAATCCGCTTCTCAGTGGTCTTACGTGCTCCCAACTTGCGCCGTTACAGTCCATAATGAATGTGGCAGCGAGGCTCATCTTCCGTCCGCCCGCACCTCCCATGACTCACCCTTCTGTCAAGTCCCTACATTGGCTTCCTATAAAATAGAGCTCAATTTTAAATTCTGGTTCTTGCTTTCTACTGTCAGTCTAATACTATCCTTACCTTTTTGTGTCATTTTACCCCACTCCCTCTAGCATGTAAGCTCATTGAGCAGGGCCCTCAACCCCTCTGTTCGTGTGTCCAACTTGTCTGGTTACAACTACATTTCTGTTCGTCCACCCATTGTAAAGCGGAATTTGATGGTACTATAGAAATAATATAAATACTAGACTTGTGCACAAATGTGTTTCATCTGGTACACATGAATCGAATGCCTTTTACTCTGTGTCCAAGCAAATTGCTTTGCCTGTAATTTACCTGTGGGGTCTTTTCAACGAAAGACTAAGAAAAATGCTAGACTGAGTGATTCTAAAAAGTACACCGTAAACAGTTTAGCTTAAAAAAACCAAAACAAAAACCTTAATAAACTTGGGACCAACTCACCCATGGCAATCTGATATCAGGTGAAATTCTGCTCAACAGCCTTACAAATTACAATTTTAATGACATTGTTTACTCAATATACCTTAAGTAACCACAATGACACCAAAACCAGGAGTGTAATGATTTATTGGAGGCAGAGGTTGTCAAACAGCAGCAAAACAAAACCCCAAAAATAGGAGAAAATAAAAAGACATGGTGTTGGAAATGTCCACAAAACTACATGAGCAGCCTTTGATACGATAACCATATAGCTGCCAGACATGTATATAAACAAGCCCTGCCAGCAGCAATCTGGTTATACAAGAAGCACCCGAATTTGAAAAATATTAAGTACCCCAAAATACACCAGAACACGGACATAGTTTTATAAGAAACAAATAAAACTGGGCACAGTGATTACTTAAATGTGTGTATTTGGAAACAAAAAGCAATATGTAGGGAGGGGAATGAAGGTTGGTTGCAGTTGTTTACTACATTTGTTTCATACATTTTACATTATAATACAAAAAAAGAAAAAAGTCAGTTGCAGAAACTGGTGGTTCCAATTTTTCTTCTTTTTTATTTAAATACCAGATAGGCTTTAAAGTCCTCTACATAAGTGTCTGGAAATTACTTATGTGCATTTTTATTAATTTTTACATGAGTGAAACCATTAATACTTTTCTACAGCAGTAACCGCACACCAGAAAATTTGACAGACAAATTAAAAAAAGGGAGGGGAACAAAAAAAATGAAGGAATGGAGTTTCCCCAAAGCTGCAGTGTGAAAAGACTATAAACTTGATTTCCATTACAGATGGATGGACTTTCTTTGCTATAGGAAATCCACGTGGAGCAATAAGGAATGGAGACGTGTAAAAAGGGTCCTTCAGGGATAAAGATGTGCCAGCGGATTAGTTGTTTTCGCATTGCTCTACAGCATCATTCTCTTCTCCTGCAGTATCAGATGTCCATAACTACAAAGAAAAGTGATTAAATATACAATTCCATGTGTTCCATTTAAATTTTAATACAGCACAATTCCCTGTTTACAGCAACCTTGCCGAAGTGTTAAGGTGTGATCTAGCCAAATTATGTTTGAGAAATTTTGCCTCATTTAACCACAATATCCTTTGTAATATATCCAATTTATTTGATCAATTTGAGTTGACATCTCCCATTGACTACAGTGATATGGGACAATTCTTAACCTGAAACAGGCTTCTATACAAAACTATGTATTTGGTTAACATCGTTGCACTGGTTGAAGATTAAATTTAATCTATGCCTTTGGAAGACATGCTATCAAAGCACATTAACAAAAAATTCATTTTTACCAACATTGCAAGCATATCATTAAGAGATCTTTGAGTGATGAGCAGTTTTCACGATAAATTCTATGAGATGCCAGGAAATCACAATAGAATTTTGAAGTAAAGACAATTAGAACATCCAAGTACCATAACCACTAGTGGTTATGGTGCCAGAAGTGCCCTGGGACCATCCCCCATCCCACTGTAAGTAGTCAAACCAGTTTAGAATGGTAGTACGTAGTGCTGGAGCTAGGAGTGTTCCTTTGACTATTTGGTAAATAACGTTAACGTGTAAAAGCCCATTCTCATCCCCAGTACTGTTTTATTGTCTATTCTGAGGACATTTCATTCCCTGTTTCAGTGTTACATAATGTAATCTGTGCCTTGTGAGCAACCCTATCAACTTAAAGCAAATACTTACTGTTAGGTTGTCTCTAAGCAACTGCATGATGAGCGTACTGTCTTTGTAAGATTCTTCATTAAGGGTATCAAGCTCTGCAATAGCATCATCAAATGCCTGCATAAAAAGAATATATTACCTTAAAATTAAAGTCTCAATGAAAATGGACAAGTTTGCTTTGTATATTCCTGAAAAACCAAGTTACTCAGCAAAAAGTTTAAAATTAACCATTAGTTGTATTAAGGATCTCAAACTAAACATGGCAGACTGGTTTCTGTGTTTGGTAGGAATACAAAATGATGTATTGTGGTGAAAGACAGGCATGTGCTTTCCACAAGAAAACCAATGTTTTATAAACAAGCTTTGTGCCATTTTGCTTTTTTTGATGTTTCCTTATAAACTGCTACTTTTACTCACGGCTTTGGCCAGCTGACATGCTTTTTCTGGGCTATTAAGGATCTCATAGTAGAATACAGAGAAATTCAGAGCCAGGCCCAGGCGAATTGGATGTGTTGGTTGCATGTCCTTCTTGCTGATGTCAAATGCCTCCTGGTAGGCATCTTGGGAATTCTTTATTGCGGCTATGGAAAATTAGAAAATGTTACTACAGAACGAAGTGATCAGCTATGAGTTTTACAAATGTTTGACAATATTCACATACCTATACCTATACATACCTATACCTAACTAACCTATTGACCTTAAAATGAACAATGGTTGGAGGGGGGGGGGGGGGGGGGGAGAATTGTCCCTGCACCACACTACTAAAAAGTAGTTTACAACTAGCTAGGTTGTGATGGTATATGGCTAATTACAGCTGGGGAGAAGTGATAAGTGGAAAGCATCTGTTAATCACAAAGGAGGCAAGACCTTGTGGGAAGAAACAGTGAGCTGTGAAACTTTGGAAACCTGAAAGATGGGGAAAATTGCAAACGACACTTCCATACTTTAGTCACTAGAACCATTACCATTTAAATGTAGTGTTTCTGTAGGTGTCTGTAGCCTGTCCAAGAAGGCTTTTCAACGTAAACAGCCTTTTCATAGAAGAGGCAGTGTTGACATTTCTGACTAGTAACACCTACCACTTAAGGCTTTTACCAGTCCAGGGCTGCACAGTGTACAGCATCTACGCTCAGATTCTCCACTCTGCATGGATATGCTGAACGTTTACAATATAGTTGCACTGATTCAATGTATCTCTATGAGAAGATGCTGCATGTACAATAGCCTCCCAATGGGGAAGCATTGGATTGGCTGATCATCTCCGCTATGGAGGCATGACCAGCTGTAGTGAGACTGGCGTAGGGGGATAAAAAATAAAACCACAAAACATCTCATGGCCTTGAATAGGTCTTATTTTTTTTACTTAAAACACCAATACGCCGACACTGACAAATTGTTTTATTTTAAAGTTCACCCAGCCTCTACCTTTGTGGGAGCTGGAGTGGATCCTTACCCTGGGGTCAAGTGGAGTTGCTATAATTCCATAAACTTCAAGACGTTCTTGAGCTGCTCCCTCACGTGCTATTTAGTGATGCTGGGTTGGAGTGACATACCCTAGCATCACTGCAAGGTGCACGAGGGAGCAGAGCAAGAAGGTTACAGGCCCCCCATTGTGCACAGCCGCATGACTCACTGAAGTGTTCCTTTAAGCAAATTTACAGTCTTACAAACCTAGTGTTTGAAGTAGTTTCCACAAGATCTATGCATACAAACAGACCAGAATACCATTTAGATTGCCTCCTCATGTGTCTGTAGGCTCCTTTGAAAGCAACAGCTCACTATACTGATGCATTCATCAGTTCTAACAGGGTCTACCAATATTCCTTTGCCATGTACTGGAGTGGATCACCAACATATTAAAGACCATGTTAAATACTTACTTGTTCTGTCATCTCCAGTTGCCACCTCAGCAAGGTACCGGTAGTAGTCTCCTTTCATTTTCAGGTAAAAAACTTTGCTCTCTGCCTGGCTGGATGTGCGTATTAAAAACCCATCAAGCAATTCCTAAAAAGTTTTTTTTAAAAATGTTACATTAAAATGACCAAGTTAAAGTAAACATGCAGAGATCTTAACAATTGATAAGCAAAACAAGCTACACAAATAACTTAAGATTAACTAGTTTATGGTTATGCACTGCACGTTCAAAAGAAAACCCAAGTGTGGAATATATATTTCTGAAACCAATTAAAGATACAGTTTGCATTATGGCATCCCTAGCAATGAGATGAGGAATATACAATATGCTTGAGAAGTAGTCCCACTCTATGTAATTAAATGTTCGGAAATTAACCACACAGGTGGAGAAAATAATGCAGAGGTAGAGTATTAATTTGCAAGAATCGCAAATCCACCAAAAAGGCACAATACATTTCTAACTTTTGATTATTTTCAATAAATTTAGACTGTGGTAAAGCCTTTTTGTAAGAGTTGCATGCAACTTTCATTGCTACTAAAAATTACAGCTAACTGTTCAACAGCCTGGGATCCATGGATCGAGGACTCAATACTATATTGAAGTAGGATCAGAACAATCACAATAGAAAGCTTTGGGTGAATGTCCTGGCCACAACCATTCAGAAGAAGCAGAATAAGCCTTATTCTGAGGAATTTAATTAATCTAAATATTCAGCCAAGGAAAAGTTCTCAATATTAGCTAGCTGACTCCTTAAAAGATTAGGCATTGTCTGTAACTATCTAAAGTGCTACAAGTTTGAGTCAGAATTTAATGATTTTATATGCTAGTTCCTGCAGATAGCCTGGAAGAGTTCACTTGAAACAGTAAACAGTTAATCTGAGATTAACATTTGTGTCTCTGAATGGCTCATTGTGAGCTACAGAATGGAGACTATGGGTTAGAAACAGTCAAACTTTCCAGGGAGCGCACTTAAAGGAGGAACTCATTTCCCAGAACTTCTATGTTTACTTATCCTTATATTTTTGCAAAATCTATTTGTGATGAATAAAAAGAAAAGTGTTACTGCATCAGTGTTAGAAGCATTTCAGTTTGAAATTCTGCATGTACTGAGATTTTATATTGCTGCTGGATGTGCATCTACTTGTTTTGACAAGAGTTCCAAGCTGGCTAACGTCCACTGCACATATTTTGGTCTGAGAATCCTCAGCTGACGCTCGCCAGCATAACACGAGCAGCACAATTGGCATCTGCAGCCCTGCATTATTAAAGGGCAATGGTCTCACAGGATTTTCAAAGTTTGATTAACCTGCACAACTTTTTTTGAGGTGTGAATATAAGGCAAAAAGTAGAAAAACATTGTGTTACTCCAGTTTCCAGCCAGCTATGGTTATCATGCTGACTACAATGTGTGGCCACGCTGTGCCTGGACTGAACTGGGTTGTGGTGACAATTACTACATTCTGAATACATTTAAAAGTTAAGAAATTACAATTGCATAAAAAACAAACTCCCCACTCCACCCAGAAGCCTAAATATATTTAGGCAGTTTTCAAAAAAATAAAAATATTTAATAATGTAATTTCCCAAAAACTAGTGTTGCTTTTAACCCGACTGGTATTTAGCCATAATGTTGTGGTAAATTACAAAACACTTTGAAAGGACAGGTCTGGTTTGAGAGTTTTAAACTGAAGACACTAAAACGCAATAGTCTTTCACCATGCAGTTTCTCCAGTATCAGATTACTAGACTGAGCTCTAAATGCCCATGATTAATACTGCTAGACTATAGGGCACATATTCCTGTACTGTACATGGTCATTACAAGCACCCCACTCCTTGCATATAGTGCAATGGGGTCCCCAGCATATAATTGCAGAGTGTATTGCAGTGAAACTTGCAAGCTTCCTCACAAAGTACACAGTTGCAGGTTACATTGAGTACATTGAATTTAAGCTTTAATAATTTGCTTTAATTAAAATGATCAGTGTTTAAAGTGGGTTACCGATTTAGGAGTAAAATGTACCAAAAGTGTAAATTCTGGGAACGTTGAATGAACACTCCAGGCATTAAAACACTAAAGAGATCTGAAGTGGTTATGGTGTCATGAGTGCCCTGGCACTCAGCCATTAACCATTACAAGACATGAAAAAAGTTATTTTGGGTTAACCAGGCAGTCACCATCTCCAACAGACCGATATTTGCTATTCAAAGCAGCACTAATGATAAAGTCATTTGTGGAACTTTTGAATCAAAGACCTTCAACAAAAATAGGCTTGACATCTGCTTGAAGAGAAGAGACATGAAGGGTGATGCACTATGTGCTCATTTAAAAAAATTTGTATTACAGGATTTGACAAAACCCTTTACTTAGGAGTCTGTCTAGGTGACATGGACAATCCAGTTACAGCTTCCAGAAGCTAGGAGTCTTAAAGGTACACTATATTCAACAGGACAGCTACATCTAATGAGTATAGACCGTCCCTTCAGGCTTCTTGCAGTTAAACACTGTCTTTTCAGGGAAAAGGCAGTATTTATATTACAGATGAGGTGCTTCCTGAGGCAGTGCTGCACTGAGTGTCTCCACCCTCTGCATGGAGACCCTAAACTTTCCTCAGATTCAACGCATCTAATGAGATGCTGATTGGCCAGGTGGCATTTGACTCCGCCCCGGTACACCTCCTTGGCAATCACAGCCAATTCAATGCTTTCCTATGGCCAAGACAGTCACTTCTTATGTCAGCAAAGGAACAAAGGTAAGATTTTACGATATTTAGGGAGCAAAGTGGGGGCTAGTGTTTTTAATATTATAGGGTCAGGAATACACATTTGTGCCCCTGATCCTAGAGTGTTGCTTTAACCCCTTAATGACAACTTCTGGAATAAAAGGGAATCATGATGGAATATTTCCGTCATGTGTCCTTAAGGGGTTAATGAACTGTTTCAGAAGAAACCTATACAATCTCCTTATGTCCATGCAACTCTTTCCACATATACACCATGCAGGTCCCCACTTCCTTGGTCAGCACTGAAAGCTCAATCCACAAATTAGTGCATTCAGTCATTAGAACAATCACATGGTACATCTTCCTTCACAAAAAAAACCAAATAGTATCTGATCAGTGGAACTATTACAGAGGATTGAGCAAAAATATCCAATAAATCCCTTCAGGACAATTTTATATAAGCTCAGACCCCATAGACTAGGATAAAGAGGTATTTTCTGTGGTCTCATCCCAGACTTCAAAAGCACTGGAAATTAACTGGAATATCTCATGAGCTGGAGGAAAAGGGAAAGAACTTAAATATTTAAAAGGGACACTAGTCACCTGAACAACATCAGCTTAATGAGGTTGTTCAGGTGAGAACTATAGCTCCCTGCAGCCTCTCATGTAAACACTATTTTCCGAAAAAATACAGTGTACATTGAAAGCAAGGAACACCTCCAGTTGCAGTCACTCAGAGTGAACCTGAGGGACTTCCGAGTTGATAGAGGCATAATATGCCTCCATCCACTCAGATCTGCTGTCAGCAGAGCACAGGGCAGCACTGTGCACAGCATCCTGTGATTCAGTATCTCCTCCCTCTGCATGCAGACACTGAACTTTCCTCATAGAGACTGCAAATCCACATGTCATCTCATTAAAGTGATCTTTGTGCAGTGGCTCTATAGTTTTAGACTTATTGTAAGATTTTGCCTTTTGTAGAAACAGCAATGTTTACCTTAAAGGGTTAAGCACACTTATCTTGTTACACTGACAGCCACTAGAGGCTCTTGCGCCAAAACAGAATAAACTGTCATGGGATGTTTGACGTCCATAAGGACTGCTCATGTCAGTTCTCTGCATATATTGCATTTATGTTTAGCACGCTGATAGAAATTTAAATCTTCTCCCTTGCAGGCATAGCACCAGGAAGGGAAAGATTGCTTCCCCCTCCCTCCTACTGTGTGCTCCCTCTGTTGACCAATCACAAGTTTCTCCACTATGAGAAGACAGTCACAAGCTGTGCTAGACCCCACTGACTGGAGAGGGCCCAGAAGTCATCGCTGGATTCCAGGTAAATAAAACCTTCAAATTGGGCACTCTATAGCACCCAATAGGGCATTTTACACCAGAAAAATCCTCCTCCAAAAGGGTTGGAGTGGCACTTTAACGCAGCTCTGTCAGAGCAATCCTATTTTTTAATAAAATGTCCTACCTAGAGTCCTTAATGCATTTTGCATATTTACTATTTTTTTGCTTTATTATCAGTGCCGCATTTCATCCAAGCTGCTGCAGCATTAGGGGTCCTGGCAGTGAGAAGCTTATAACAGCAACATGCATATCGTTTCCTTACTTGCAACCCCCTGGGGACAGAAAGATCATTGTAAGATTAGAGAGGATGGACATGACTGGCAGGTGTGTATTGTAGTGAAAATAGGACTTGACAAAGGAAGTGGAGCTTGCCTAAAGTCAGGGGTAGGCAACCTATGGCACGTGTGCCATGCACAGGTCTTAAGGTGCCTTTGCATGGCACTCAAGGCTGCTAGAGCCAAATAGGCTCTGGCCTATAAGGAGTCCCAGTGATACTTCCGATATCTGCTAATATATAAAGGTGGTGATGGGAAATCCTCAATTTATGCATTTCAGCACATCGAGGAAGTAATCTCAGATCACTTAATTCCAGCACTTGTGAATATGAATCCACACTGGAATAGAGCAGCTCACAACTGCTGTTGCAGCTCCTGTCCTTGACATGTACCTGGCCAGCCTGGTCCCCACTGGAAGCCACGCACACTGCTGCCTAATAACTCCCCTCATACAAATGGGAACAGCCCACACAAATAATCCGCACAAACTCATCACTGACAATCCACATATGCACACAACCCCACATGCAGCCTCACATAAAATACCCCAAACAGCCCCACACACCAAACACTGACATATCCATCTCCACACCCACACTTCCACAAGTAGCCCCCATACAAGATACCACAAACTACTCATGAACATATACAATACAAAATAAACTACAGTATAAATAACAAGCAGAATATGGCAACCAACACAAAAAAAAATTGGACCCACACGGTACATCACAATCCTATTTCGGCACAGTGCTGCTAAAAGGTTGCCTACCCCTGTTAAGCTCTACCCTTTTTCAAAAGTAGGAAAAACATGAGAAAGCAGCCCTTACTTTGCAGCTATTGTTTTGGTGCAGTTATTTTGCACATTTTATAAAGAGTATCAGGAAGAAAACATTTGGAGAGAGGAAGAAAGTAGGAAACTGGAGAATGGAGAGTTTGGATTGACAGGCGCTTTAATTGAAGCATTCCAACTTATTACATCCCTAAAGTCATTATGTGTGGTACTCTTAGAAAGATGGCTTTAGGTACACCAGTAGAAAAACACTTTAAAACATTTTCATTGTGCAGAAGCATAAGCATAAGGAGCTCTAACTCAAAATATATTTCATGCCATGACAATATTTGTGCATTGATGTTACAATTACACATTTTAACAGAAACATACTAGACACAAAGTATGTCAAAGTATCTTTACAAGGTTTGCAGTATCATTGTGAGCCAAGACATTGGTCTTCAAAGTAGTATATATCTTCACAAGTTCTCATGGAGCATTTGTATATTATAACAATTCAAAATATGCTTGCAGAGTCCCTGAATTGGTCCCTATAGGAGAGGGCATAAAAAAAAAAAAAAGTGATAGTGGGGCAAATAGGGATCCTCACGCTTGCTATGTGTGGTAACTCTTGTTTTAGCCAAGTGTATGCTATTGCCCTTTGTGCGGCTAATTTAATTTTGTGTATCAGTGTTTGTTCTCTTCTGGACCATCCATCAAGAGTCTAGGTCTGGAGCTCTGGAAAACACCTGGGTCAATAGGTCTTTAATAGCCTTCCAAAATCATTTGTGGGTATGTCCCCTTAGCGCGCATCCCCTCCAGCATAAGTCAGTGGGAGAAGCACTAATTTAGAACATAATTTCAGGCTAATAAAACCATGAAATATGTTGCCACATCTGTGGCCTGGGCCACTTATGTAGGTTTAAATATTAACATGATGCAGTTTATTAAAAGGGCTTGTTAGATATTAATACCTTTGCTATGAAATCCTAACCCAAGCAATGTTGATGCTAATCTCCACTATAATATCCTGGTTGCTGATGGAAGAAGAATCAGCAAGAGCAGCTTAAAAAAAAGAGACTGGTGTTTTAGCACATGCCAGACGTTTGCAGTGTCTGAAGACTTTGTATATCTGCAGCATGTTTGCTACTGCAGTAGAGACAGGATTTATGCAGCTCCAATGACTATTGATCCAGCAAGTCTGTATGGCGCCACTCCTGCACAATGCAGCAAAGTACAGCACAAATATTGCAGGGAAGAGGAGAAGATAAGCAGACAAAGAATAAAAGTGCTTATTTTAAAAAGCTATATTATCATTTTAACGGTCTTAAGGATTGGACAAAAAAAAATTGAAACAAGTCCGTTATATGCTGAAAACCGAAAGCTCCCTAGAAGTACTACACTACAAATGCCAATCAAATTTCCCTACTACAATGAAAACCACCACATGGGCAAAAGTAGCTACAGAGCATTACAGAATTTTTGGAGTATAATGAAATCTAGTTGACTGAAAAAAAAAAAGCACTCAATGGCAGACTTCTGGTTCTTAAAATGTAATAAAAACGTTAACATTTAGTGCAAATGTATCTTTTGACACTGAAAACTGCTTAGTTTTTGGAATCCAAGTGAAGTCAAATGTTTGTTTTATGCATAATTAGTAAAGCCAATTATGATTTACTTCAGTTCTTGTAGTTTTAAAATTCCATAAGAGGTTTCATTGAAAAGCTGTAGCTGCATCTGACCAGGAGCCCTCACTATTGCCACTTTCAGTGAACAAAGTACCGAAGAGAGGATTGTGCTTTTGCAGCATAGCACGTGAGGACACTTAATTTCCACGGCTGCTAGACCCAGGAATTTAACCCACAGGGAACAGACATGTAATGCAGGCTTGAGCGGTTTATCAAGGAATGAGGAGTATCTAAATCAATATTTCTATACAGAGCTCTGTAAAAGCAACATTAGCCAAATAATGCAGATGCAAGCTGTATTTATTGCAGCAGTATCTTGCAATACCTTTATGGGAGTAACCATATACTGTAACAATCTTTCATGAGTTACTCTGCTTTAAGTTCAAGTGCATACAATAATGCACGTCTTCTAATAATTGACTACAGTATAATGCTAAATTAAAAACCCCACCTATTCACATACATTAGAAAAGGGAGCCTTAGACTCACTCTGCTTGGGAAGTATTTCAGAATGCTAAAAAGCTGTAAAACGTAGCCATTTTGCAGACACTGGTTACAATGGACAGGGAATCTATCATAATGTTGAAAGAGACAGAACTATAACAGCTACAGTGTATTTTAACAGCTATGAGGCATGGACCCTTTGGTGCTATGCTTTTTTATGGGGCCATTTCTTACTTGGTGAGACCCATTTACAATTAAACTGCACGTTTAAAAAGGGACAGTGAGCACAAATTATTTCATCTTGATTTTGGTGCATGGATCCTACATCCTTTCATTGAAAACTGCAGTTTTAGAAACCGCACCATTTTTATTTTTTTTTCAATCCCAACACCCCTAGTGACTATTAGAAAGCCAAACTGGGTGCTCAACGCAATAGAATATTTCCAATGGAGAAGCAAACCTTTACCATTTCAATGCACAACAAAAAACAAGTACATGCTAAGCAAAGGTTTACTATAACTACAGAAGACAGTTCTGTGGCTATGTCAAGGAGCTTAAAAATATAATTTGCCTTTACGATGAGTCATAAGCATCAGCTTAGCAGTACAGCAATAGGTTAATTTGTAAGAGTATCTTTATTTTCGCAAAGATGACACTAGAGCAATGGTTCCCAATTAATTTTTCCCGTGGAACCCTTTGACATAGTATACCAACATCGCAATGGATGCCGTTTCTTATAAAGCGCTTACAAATCACTTTATGTAAGCCCAACTCTAATTTATAGCTGCAAACTTAGCATCTACAAAAAAAAATTAAAATAAACCTATCCCGATATGCCACAATGGGCACTGCTCTAAAGAACAGTTATCAATAAATGCAGCAAAATAAATCCTCTCACTTTCCATACCATTTTACGTGTTATATATACCAGATTTACTTTCTTTTACAAAAAAGTGCAGTATTTCTGACACTTTCCTACTTTTCTGTTTAAATCAGCTTCTATGATTAACACTGCACTGAAAAATAATGTAAGAAGAAATACTCTCCTATGGACAATATTGTGAGCCGAGTGTCTGCCTGAGTGCTTCCACTCACTGAGTGGATGACAGCGCGGGCATAACAGCCTTGCAATCTTAATAAGATCGCGGTCGCGCGATCTGTTTCAGACCTTCCGGGAACAGCAGGGAGCGGCAGCCATCTTGAATGTGGCAATTCACGGCAGAACCCCAATTTTGTTCTCGCGGAACACCAATTGGGAAACTTTACACTAGAGGAATGTTTCTGGTATGTGAATGTTGCCATGCAACTGTATCAACTACACCTGCCTGAGTGAATTAGATACCCATGATATAACACCAGACATTGAAACCAGAGGGAAAAACAAAAATACAACAGTTTAAGAGTTAGAAAGAAGAACAAAAATAATTCCTATAGAGCAGATTTACTAAATGGAAAGTCAAAATTGCCCATTCTGTTGATCTGCAGAATAGATAAGTGGTTCTGAGCCCAGTCTGCACAGCACATCAGTGTTCAGGTCGGTCATTCCCACAAGGACAAAACTGGGTAACCAATCCTGGAATGTCTGTACATGGAGGATTGTTATAAGGGACACAAACATCCTTCTGCAATGATCCCAATGTTTCACAGGTTGAGAAGCCAACACAAGCTTCAGACAAGTCCTTCCTGGACTACGAAGGATTCCATTAAGGAATATCACTGGAGTGATCTTATCCCATACACAACCATTAAACAGGTGTTTCTGGGATACGCAGTTCCAATCTACACGACAGATAGCCATACTAAAGGCTGAGAGGTTATATACTATCTACATATAGCTTTTTTCCACAAAGTGACAAAGTATGTCTGGCATGGAAAGGTCTTTCTAATCAAGTAGAACCCATGTCACATTGGAAGTCAGGATTCTTACAAATGCAGTAAAAGACAAGAACCACAGAGTTTGTGTTCAGTGTTAGTTTGCCATCCTTGCCACTATTGGTAAAGGCTTTTGTCAATGTACTGCTGGCCACCCAACAAACCTTATTGCAGACATTAAAGGAAGGCTGAACTTTGAGAAGTATTTGTCAGCCATTCTAACTGACACACAAGGATATCAGCAACTGGATTCTGAAAAGGTATGACTTCTAATGCAAGAGTCTAAAGTCTGCCTTTTGATCTCTTAAATAGAATCAGCCAGAAATTGACCAGTTCTACCATTAAAGACATAAAATTACATCCGGCTATAATGTTACAGCAGCAGGAGTGTCCTAGCACTCTCACATTAACAGAACAAACTTTTGTACAGGTTTGATAACGCAACTGGGTCCCGCCAGGGACAATAGTCTCCTGCAGGAGAAGCCTTGTGTCTCAGAATAAGCCACCAGCGACAGAGGGCCACACTTAGTTGATGCTTTTACCCAGTGAGAACTGATCCGTAATGGCCCTGCTTTACTTTATAGAGCAATCCAGTTTCTCCTGCAGGAGAAGACCAGATTCAGGAGTTTTGGCTGTGGGTGACAGCCAAAGCCAGGTAGCTAGAGTATGTTAAAACCAGCAGATTAATTTGTCAATGCCAGATTTAAGCAATTGGCCATTTTAATAGCTGGCTAGAGTAACCTACCAGAACAGCCTTGCAGATATCCTTGAGCTCGCACTCTACTTTTTCTTTGTATTCTTTAACCATCTCCAGCTTCTTGTCTGAGCCCTCTGTCTTCTGCTCAATACTGGAAATTACTCTCCAGGCCGACCTCCTTGCACCAACCACATTCTTGTAGGCAACAGATAGAAGGTTCCTTTCTTCATTGGACAGCTCAGTACCAAATTCTGTCACTGCCTTCATGTTGGCAGCCATATCGTCATAGCGTTCAGCCTGTTCAGCCAGCTTGGCCTTCTGGATAAGCACGTTCTTGTCTGCCATGGCTTTCGTGTGAGATGGAGTTAGAAAAAAGTGGGAGAAGAGCTAAAAGGTGGTCAACTAGTTGGATATAAATACAGATCGACAGCCAATACCTGTAGAAAATAGAATATAAATTTTAGAACGATATATAACATTTTACAGAATAAAATACAATTCAAATCTATGGCATTTTAGGAATTCCTCCCTCAATACAAATGTAAAACAAACCCATGGTAGGCCACAAAGTACAATAATACCTAATAAAAACAGATCAAGTTACTTCAGGGACCAGGATCACTTTAGACATTTAAAGTAGTCACAGTGCCTGGAGTCTCTGTGCAGCTTTGAAATACTGCACATACCATGTTTTGCCCTTTTGCTGCTAGAGATGTAACTCCATCCCCAGCAATGTCACTGGAGTGTCAGACTAATGTCAAGTCATGCAAATATCCATTTTGTGCAAATTCTGATGCATATATAATCAAATTCATTAGCTAAGAACAGCGAGTTGCTCTTAGCATAGCCAGATTTAGCAAATTCTACTTTAGTGTAGACCATGCAAGCAGTAGGACCAGGATAGATGGCAAACCATAGTAAAAAAAACTGCATTTTGGGTAAACATTTTTGATTACTATGTCAGAGCATCATCTTCTGCTTAGTTTGACGGTTTTACATAGAACATAATGGCTTAATTTGCCTAATTTCTCATCCAAAAAAAACCATTTTTGCGGTGGACAACAAGGCACTCTTCCAATAGAATAATTTAACACCTATGGGTTTTAGAAAAAATACCCAGTTTAAGATATACTTACCTGAACCTCACATTTAGCTACCCTTTGATGGTCACTGCAGTTGATGCAAGGCATTGTTTAATATTATGCACCATTTAATAACACTGCATATAACCATCTACAGGGCAATATGTAGGCTATTCCTCCACAGGGGAGTTCATAGACTGAACACGTGTTATGTAGATAAACGACCTATACATTTGTGAGTAATGTTACCAGTACAAGGAGGAAAAAATAGGAGTGAAATTTAATCTGGTATAGTTACCATGTGGGGAGACAAAAAAAAAAAAGTCTGTCAGGCATTTATAATCGGCAAGTTTTGGAAAGCATCCGTTTTACTATTCTTTATTACCAATTGCCTATGCCTCATAATGTCAAGTAAAAAGACTAAACACAAAAAACGTACATACACTGTAGGCAACGGCCGACATAGGAACTTTATTCTAAGCAAACATGTCCAGTCATGGATTACAGGTATCTTAAAAAGGATGTAGTGATCCTGACAGAGAATTGGAGTCTAGGGAAACAGAGCACCTGATTAAAATAACCCAGCATAAAAGCTAGGAGATACTCACAAAGATCTGAAACAAACCCAACACAGAATAATCAGACAAATGTCAAGGTAATGCCTACCTACCAACAGCTAAGGAGTTAAAGGATGAGTCAGTGAAAAGGGAGGGCCTCGGAAATCAAGCTGGGGGAGGAGAAGAAACATATCTGGCTGCCCTGCCTTTTGTCTCCAGGCTGCATGGATCACCCCCGCCCTGACTGCCTCTCCCTCCTCTACTCCCTCCCCTCAGGGGAGCCTGGTTTCCCAGCACTGCAACATATAACCAGTCAAGTCTCAAAATCCTACACCATGCTGCATTTAACCCATTTACTGCAGATCACAAATGCTTGTACTAGGCTTCCATGCAGCTCATGGACTATTACAACATACATGCACGTACAACACGCAAGATGTAAGCTACTATACAAAGCCATGAGAGATAATGGTCACCAAAAAATAAAGAAAATAGCCTGAGAATATTTAAATAAAACCTGGTAGGGGATTAAAAAGATGGAGGGGGTAATTCAGACTATGTATCCAGGAATGACAGAAAGGTCACTTTCACAATGCCAGATATAACTGGCTAGTGTCATGCAGACACCGAATGATGCCGTCAAGGTTTAATACAGTTCATATCCTGGTAAGGCTCCACGTTAGACCTACATTTTGACAGACACAGATGAGAAACATTACATTGTGTGCCCAATGATAGCAGTTCAGCTACAGATGTGGTTTGAAGAATGGCGTGACATGCAGTTGCCCTGGGGACAGTCACCCATACTACCTGGAATGTGATAAAATGATACAGTGTATCTGCATACAGATAGATTAATGGGGAACACACCTCATTATGTAATTAAACAGCAGCAGCTTATCAGACGGATGGTCACACAGTGCTGGTATAAAGTGCAGCAAATCTGCAGAATGATCTACCAGCTGTAATTTTAAACTAAATGGTATTTTAAATATGAATATATATTGATTTATTTGTCGAAGTTCTATTAATATAGACAATGAAAATAAATGTTAAAATACTAAATATTTCTACAAGCTGGTCATACATACACCCATACAAAAACTGGCAGTGAACAAGGCAGTAACAGCAGCAACCCCCTCACACCCAATGAGCGAATCTAAAATAAGAGCTTGGCCAGGGACAGCCTAAAGGTAACTACAACTCCCAGGATACTTAGCCATGGAAAGACGATGGCAAAGGATCATGGGAGTCGTAGTTTCATACCTAGAGAGCCACTTTCTGGCAGCACATCCTGCAGATCTATAATACAATGCACAATTCAATAAACCACAAGTTAAAAAAATGATAAATATTAAATGCCTAACGCATCCTCTCCGAGCCAGAGGGAGACACCAGCTTATGGAGAACTACAACTCCCACCATGCATTGCTGGGATGCTAACGACTCAGCCTTAGCTTTGAAGGACTACGTTTCCCATGATGCTCAGCCAGCCTGTCGATCGGGGGTTAGGGTGTGCGAGGCTCGCTAAGCATCAAGGGAAATGTAGTTCCCGTGCGGCTCCATCCGACAGGCTGGTGTGGGAGCCAGGCAGCGGGCAGTGACGGCAGCGGGGGGGCCCACCATGTATGGGGAGGCGGCCATGGCAGCGCTCGGAGCCCCGGGGGAGGCGGCCATGGCCCCCTGGCTGTGTGGCGGGATGGACTATGAAGCCGTGGGACTCACCGTGCGCTCCTCCTCACAGTGCGAGCCGCTGGCCGGCGGAGGAAGGAAAGGGAAAAAGGAAGGACAAGAGAAAACCCGGAGACTGAGGCGCAGCTCACAAGGAACCCTCCCGCTTCAACCTAACCCGACTACCACAGGCGTTGGCGAGGGGGCGGCGTTAAGAAGCCTCGGCCAATCACAGCGCGGGGGGACGCCCGCCAATTCCGGCCGCCTTCACCCGGCTCGGCCAATCAGAATGGAGCGCGGGAGCTTGGGGCGGGGCAGCGGCTCGAGGGGGAGAAGGGAGGGTTAGGTTGAACGGTAGTCTGCGGCTTGGTCCACGGGGTTTCCTCCAATGAGATGCAGGGTGATATGACGTCACTGTCACTATGGCAACCGATGTGCAGCTTCTCCCCCCCCCTTCCCTCCCTCCTCTACTGAGTTGTCTTTCCTCACACACCCTGTGTGCTACTCCAGGCTGGGCGTGGCCCCCAGGCTTCCTGCAGGGCCAGAGACCCCAAGGGGTAACCCCCCCATTATTAAACACCAGCAGCCTGTTCATTACAGTAAAACACACAGCTAATGGCCAACCACAGCAAAGCATTGTGGGAGTTGTGTTCGCAGTCTCTGGGTTATTAGTATTATCGTCATTATACCCATTGTACAGCGCTACGGAATCTGATGGCGCTATAAAAATAATACTAATAATTTGTATAGCGTCAACATATTCCGCAGCACTGTACAATATAATAAAAGGAGGAAATTTCACAATAAATGAGACGGTTACACAATGTTACAGGAACAATAGGTTGGCGAGAACCCCGTTTAAAAGAGCTTACAATCTAGAGCAGGGGTCCTCAAACTCCGGCCCCCCAGATGTTGCTGAACTACAACTCCCATTATTCTTTTAATTACATAGATAGCCAGAGAATCATGGGAGTTGTAGTTCAGCAACATCTGGGGGGGGGCGGAGTTTGAGCACCACTGATCTAGAGGTTTGCAAAAGTGTGAATTGTCCGAAATGTATTTATTTATACAATATTGTACCAGGATGGATACATTGAGATTTCTCTTGTTTTCAAGTATGTCCTAGAATGTAGAGGGAATTTCAATTTTTAGGCCAAACCTGCTGAAATGAAAACCTCTTCAAGGCAGCGATGCTTTCAGTTAATAAAAACAATGGTAGTAATAGTTATCTGCTGTAATATCTCAAGCTAACTTTGAATTCCAGACAATTCACGGTTTAATAAATAACCTTGTGTGTTACTGCATTGTTCAATGTGAAACGTGTTAGAGAAAGGAGAGCAGAATGACTCGACGGAATAGGAACAATCCAGTATGCATGGCAGCATGTCCGCACAGGACCGCATGCATCATGCAGTAATCAGTATTATTCACAGCTCTGAGCCGAAACGACTTTCTCTGATGACACATCGGGCATATTAATGATTACTTTATGACGCTGTAGTACAGAGAGAGTGCTGCTGCACAGAGATCAATGACAAGATGGAAGCTGAACAGACTGTGGGCAGGTAGCAGCATGATTATTGTGCAAGCTCACAGGATTCCACACAATAATGCAGACAGTACCAGAAAATTAATAATGCAAAATATAGCAAGTTGGTTGCACCAGGATCAATAGAATGAACAATATAGGGTATAGGACTGCTCACATGTATACTGACAACACCATGATCCATTGACAGAACACTGTGAGATCCTGCACTGCTCACATGCTAAAATTAGCATGCTCTGCAACTTACTATTGGCTGCAAGATATGTTGCTAGGGCTGTCTGCTGCAACATTTCAGATGCAGTATGGGGAGGAGAAACACTGACACATAGGTGAATAACACAAGCGTAGATTCTGCTAATAATCTGGTGCTTCAGGTCAGTCTTTGATTGCTGATCCTAGACAATTTGGTATCCCTTCCCAGGCATGAAACACACGCAGGCATTTCTGAAACGACGGCTTTATTTGATCTGTGTGATTTGAACGCACCATTAGACCTCTATCATGTTTCAATCTGCAGATCATTTAAAGGGCCACTGCAGGATGTGGACATCCACCTTTTTGACGTATTATGGAAACAATACATTAAAAATTACAACAACAAAAAACACACAAAACCCACCCGCCATGAACCTTACAACCCCTATGCAAGGATATTTAACCCAATATCGCCTGAACAAAATGCATCCTTTTAAATTTTATGTAGGTGGTCATTTAAATGTAAGAGAGTCATTTAAATTCCATGTTTATATAGATGCTGCCCTGCCATTTCCCTCTGCATTCTGACAGCTGCCGTCACTCCTGTTTTGGGAGCAGTATTAGACAATGAGGAGCAGACTGACTGGTTGATTAACACCCATGTGACACTTAAGGAAGACTCTTACAAGACTATGGTTACATTATTTACATAATACCTCTTGAAGATTTTCCACCAGCTATGCTTTTACATGTACTTGTAATGGTACAGAGAGTAGGGTGCAAGAATAACCTATTTTCAGCTGGGATTGGCCATTGATATGTCCTTCTTAACAAAAGGATTTACTAAACTTCTCTAATTGCAGTGGTTTTGGTGCAAATACCATAACAATGTAGTTTGTATTAAACCATTTTCTTTTTTAGTTCATACATTGGGAGATATAAAACTGGACAGGAGGCACAGCTAGCCTATGGTGACTTGTCAGTGATGCAATTTTATCATTAGAGACATCCAAACGAGGTTGTCCTGCCTAAAAAAAAAAAGGGTTAATCTTAAAAGAAGGGCATGTTAGCCTGGTGTGAATATGTGCTAGGCTGATTGGCCATAGTGATAGCCAGCCCGACTGAAACCTGCACATAAACAGAGCACTGATAACGTGCTCAATTTGCACAGCACAAGCATGTCTAAGGACGTTATGGGGCTTGGTCTTTGGTACCCCAAGATGTGAGATACCAAAAAAAGCAAATCCAGGATAAAGGTACAAGACTCAGTATTCAGGACTGCCCTACTAAACCCAGGACTGTTTAGATTTATGGCCCACTAATGCTGTTCACTTCTGTTTTGTCCAAGCAGCATTACACGACCCAGCCATTAGATACCAAAAAAGTTAAGTTTTTCCCCAACCACTTAAAAAAGGTTATCATAAACATACACGGATGGTACTCACACACAATTTCCATCATTACCACTAAAAGTAGACATGGTGGTTAGGGATCTTGGCGTGCTCCTTTAACTGATGGCACCTAAAGTCTAAAATTGGCATACAGCAAACAAACTTCTCTTTAGATTTGTCCAACCAATTTGGCAAACCTTAGGCTCTGCCAAGTGTCAGGTGACACTCTCAGCCAATTATTAATGTGCAAATATGGACAAAATTAAACAAAATTAATCAGACTAAGGTGTAATATGGTCTTTATCTTTAGCAGTTTCCAATACAGGAAGTAGCACCAGAACCAAAAGGAGCCAGGTAAGTGTAAAAACATTAAATAAATACTATGGCACAGCATCAGAGGATTCCTGTTACCTCTACAGCGAGCTTAGAATACTCGTTTAAGCTAGAGTTCTTCTGCGATTTACTGGGTGTCGGCAACGTTTCTCCACTATCTGTTTTCCTTTACTTATTAATGACTACCGATGTACACTGTTGACTTGCTGATTCGTATGTCAACCTAAAAAAATGGTAATTACTTAAAAACAGGTTTAAACAATATACACTTATTAACAACACAGGAAACTCACCTGAATTCCCCGTGTGCAGTATATTTCCTGGATACTGTTGTTTCTGTACAGCAACTGTGGTGAACAAGGAAGTAGCATTGCATTTTTAACCATACCTGGTCCTCCCATTATACTACAGTGGTACTGTAGATATTCCTACTATACAGTGATACTGTAGAAGATTATATTTTAGAAACGTCTGCACAAATAGGTAACTCAGATGTTATCTTGCTATTAAAATCTTTACCACTCATTATTATTATTATTTTATTATTTATATAGCGCCAGCAAATTCCAAAGCGCTGTACAAAGGGATGACCTTAAAGGAACACTATAGGGCCAGGAACACAAACATGTATTCCTGACCCTATTGTGTCAAAACCACCATCTAGCCCCCTTAACCCCTCTTGCCTCCCTAAATATAGTAAAATCTTACTTGTATTCAAGTCTGCAGCTGCTGGCTCTGCCCTGTCTCCCTCTGACCTGCCTCCTATCTGCTGACATCATCAGAAGTGGTGGTCTGAGCCAATCACAATGCTTCACCATAGGATTGGCTGAGACTGTGAAGGAGGCAGATCAGAGGCAGAACCAGCACCAATCAAACACAGCCCTGGCCAATCAGCATCTCATCATAGAGATGAATTGAATCAATGCATCTCTATAAGGAAAGTTCAGTGTCTGCATGTATAGGGTGGAGTCACTGAATGGCAGTGCTGCTCATAGTGCAGCACTGCCCAAGGAAGAACCTCTAGCAGCCATCTAAGGAGTGTCCAGCAGAGTTATTACTAGGCTGTAATGTAAACACTGCATTTTCTCTGAAAAGACAGAGTTTACAGCAACACACCTGAAGGGAATGATTATACTCACCAGAACAAATACAATAAGCTGTAGGTGTTCTGGGGACTATAGTGTCCTTTTAATTACTTTCATTCTGGAAAACCATGAATTAAAATACTAGCTCAAGGTGATAGAGACCAACGTTTAGCTAACTTTTGGGCTGACCACAAGATGTTGACACACGGAAACTCCATAAGTGCAAATTACTCAGCTTCGTCTGTAATACTTGGCTTTTGGAACAGATCAAAGAAGATATGGGGAGATGCTCAGGTGTATTTTATTATAAATACGATGAACTTAAACTCTGTTAGCTAAACTGTTGTTGTAATGATCTTGGAGAAAGTTGAAGAGAACCTCACGTGAAAAAAAGCTTTTTAAGGGTTCATTATAGGCTGGATGTCACACCTGTAGATACGGCGCCAATGTGTGACTTTACAATAAAGGGGATTTGAAACTTATAAAGAGTGCTTGACCATTTTCTTTGCTTGTCAACTTTTTTGCCAGTTACGGGACTGGAGGCACCCTCTTGTAAAATTTTTAGTTTGTACTGGTCCATTTTACATATCTACTAACCCCTACAGATAATGTATTAAAATATGCAAACATTAACTTCAAAATCACCTACCAGGTACATCTCATTGTAATCTATGGGGCTTTTTCATACCTCATTAGCTTTTTTCAATAGGTATATGTGATAAGTAGTACAGCGCCAGCTGCAGTTCCACTCATTAACTGTGAGGAATGAAATCACTTATCATGCTGATAGTGGGCATATCACAGTATCATTCTATTCAAAGTTTTGTGAATGGGACAGTCTGCAGTGATCTCTGTATGTAGCAAATATAACCATAATCTTTACAGACAGTTTCTAGCACAGAGTATGGATTACAGATTTTTTATTATTGTAAATTAAAGTTTTCTTGGAATCCAGCCACAATAATAGTAAATATTAGAAAAGGACACGCAAGTCCTCTGAAATAATTATCTTCTTTGTAAAACCACGGAGAGTGTTTAGAAATGTACCAAAATGAGCTTCGATACGCAGGACCGAAAAAAGACGTTGAAAACAGTACGAACAAAACATAGAGGCAAAATATAGTCGTAAAACAACTCAGGTGAGCCACGCGTTAAAGTGCATTTTACAGAGGTCATAATAAAATAAAATCATACTGCCATGTCTCTCGCTCACCTCTGTTTTATAAATCAACAATTATCAGATAATTAACTTACATTTTTATCTCTCCACATGCCAACCTTAAGGTGGATTATATTTTTTTTTATTTACCAAAAGCAGACCTTTGTTAAAGAAAGTTTCAGCTTACTCTGAGCACTCCTTAATCAGGTAACCACCACACTCTACAGGTGGTTCACAAACACAGGACATTACCTGGACTGCCTGATGCAAACACAACACTATTTTTTCGCACCTTGATCTACTTATGAGCGTCTGCTGACAAGATAAGGGATCTACTATGTCTTGGAGCCTACACCTAGGATTTTAATAAAACTTGTTTTTTGGCTTGCTGGTTTTGTTTGAATTGTATGTCATAGTGAGAGCAACACTATTGGGAAAGGTCTCTAGAACAACCAGAATTTTCAGGCCTCTGATGTGTAGCTGCATCGTGTACAGGGGATTATGACAATATGAAAGACCAGGCGGCAAGTGCACAGCTGCACCACACACAGGGGTTAGGTTTTATAGCATGAAAGGAGCCTGTAGTAAGCCGAGCACAATGTAAAACAGTAAATCCAAAGAAGAGTTTGGTATGTGTAATTACAATGTAGCAAGTATTATAATCTCGCATAAAAAGTGACTTTAACGGACTCACGATATGCCTGGCAAAATCAAAATTAATTAATTTAATATGCTGTGAGGATGATGTTGAGCTATTAGAGAGGTAGAAACAGTTTTAAAGGGACTCTCCGCTGCCCAAATACAAAATTAATAAAAATCACAGTTTAATAGATAAGAGCAAGCTAAAGTGCTTTAGGGATCAGGAGTGTCCCTTTAACTTAGCTATTTTATGACCACCTAGACTATAATTTATATGTCCAATAGGTCTGTTCCAGAGGCATGGGCCTGGAGCTGCAACTTTATAGGCCCCTGCGTTAATCAATCCCTAACGTGAAGAAATATAAATGCATAGAACATAAGTGATTGACTGTTCTTTCAGTAGGGATTATAAAACAGA